AGTGGGGAATGGCTGTGATGACTCAGAGGAGCCGTTTCTCATTCAATGACAGCTCTGAGGGGAAGCTGTGACTCACAGGCACATCTAAATTCTTTAAAGGAGTTGCCAGCCCTGTGGAAGAGGGTGGTTCAACCATCTAACATGTTCTGAGATTCCCAAAACTCTTGCAAGGAGATTCCTCAGCAAGGGTTCATGGAGAAACTGAGCTGTCATGAAGCGGAAGGGATTTGAACAGAGAAAGAACTTACAGGGATAGTTTTGTTGGCATCCATGCAAGGAAATTTGATGTTCCAGGAGGGCAAATGCCAAGATGACCAAGTTGGCCAATGCCACAGCGTTTTTCAAAGGGGTCAAAGTGAAAGGTGGCTGTGCAGAGGTGCAGCAGGTCCCATTATTCTGAGTGACTGGGGGTTAAAACAGCAGCTGCAGCTCATCATTGATAAAGAAAAAGTAATGGATATATGGAGAAGCAATTCCAGCTGTACTCTGGCCATAATAGGCTCTAATTTAGCTATTACCATGTCAGAAGAACTATGGCTAGTCCTTCAAAAACATCAGCTTGAGGCTCTGGGGAGGTCAAAAGGGCAATGAGAGCATTAGGAATTGTTAGGATGGGAATAAGTGGCAAAGCAAATGTGTTGTGCCAGGGCACTACTCCTGGGAGCCTCCCTGTGTGTGATTCCTGTCCATTCCATCTGAGAAAGGAGCAGTAATTTCAGAAAAAGAGGGAAGTGGAACAGGAAGAGTGAGCAGGGACATGGAAGAGCTCCTGGCAGCACAGGGAATAGCAGAGCAATATTCTGAGGCTTGCAGGAAAGATGTCTGACGGGGATGTGACACATTTCCAACCTCATGGGCAGCATGGAGAGGAGTCAAGAGCTGTCCTCGTGTCACTGCTGCTCCAAGCACATGAAGGAGGGGTGTCAGATGGCCTTATCAGGCAGCAGACCTAAAACAGAGAGAAGGAAGTGTTTTTTCTTCCATCAGATAATTAAACTACGGGAGTTGCTGACCAGGATGTTGTGGGTATTTATCCTTAAGGGATAAATGGATTCAAAAAACCAATTAGGCAATTTCCTGGATGAAGATCTCTCTGAGGCCATTAACCACTGGGATGTAAATACAACTCTGTAAATACTGGTCCTGTTCCTCCTCCTCCTCCCCTGAGCACTTGACGGCCAGAGACAGGAGTCTGGGCCACAGGGCTTTGGCCAGAGGCATCTGCTCTGTCTGTGCCACTGCAGTCACTAATGGCCTTGCTGACATCACACTGGGTGAATTTGGGTCATCTTCTCCCATTTTCCAGCCAGGGGATGGAGGGACAGAGGAGCTGAAGGTTCTCAAAGGGTTTGTGTGAGAGGAGTCCAGCTGCCCTGCATTACCTGCTGCCTTTCTGATACCTGCACATTAACGTGGCCACGACCTCCTTCCTCCCACTTTAGAGACAGCTGGGAACATCTGGGCAAATGACATTCTGCCTCCAGCAGCCAGGGCAGCTCTGATGGGCACTGCTGTTATTCCCAGTGTTGTTATTCCCTTGCTGATTATCTCCAATTTGCACAGAGCTCACCAACATGAAAATGAAAGCAGCAATGACTTGTGCATCCAAATTGTGCATCCACCTAATGAGGATCAGATGAGTTGTTCTCCCACCCCCAGAGCTTCTCCCACCTCGGAAGATTTATGTGGCTGAACATGTTTGTTCTGATCAATGGCTGTGCTGCAAATACCAATGTAAAAGAGAGATTACACTTTTGATCCAAAGCCCACTAAAGGCAGCAGAAAGGCTCCTGATGCTCACAAAAAAAAAAAAAAGGTTTTGGCCGCAGTGAAAAAGATGAAATTTTTGGTCAGCTTCAGTGAACAAAGCACCTCGTTAGGCAGTGACAGATTTTATACAACCCACAGCTATTTATCAGAGAATGTATCATTGCTTTCACCTCTCCTAATGGGAGGATTAACATGTTTAAGGCAGAAATTCACCACCAGATCTGATTTGTTGCATTTGCTTTTCAGTCATCTTCGAGATGACAAGAAACATGAAACAGAAGCAAAGCTGCTATTTTTAGTTTGGTTTTTCCCATCCAGAAACTTGGCACTTAGAGGGAAAGGCAGGAGCAGGTATCTGGTGTGTGCTGCTGACCAGCATTGTTTCAGCACCAGGATGCAGGAGCCTGAAAAAGCAGCCTTTAATAATTCTTCGATCCTCAGAGTCATTAACCTGAGCGTTCATTAAATTAGCATTACTGGAAGCATCACAGAGCTGAGATAATTGTCCCAGCACTCAAAAACTCGCTCCTCCCACACCCTCTCCTGCACAAGGATGGAAAACCTTGGGCCGGCATTCCTGAAGGCTTAAGGTGGATACAGGGATATTCAGAAGTGCCCGAGGACTGAGTTTATCCTCTCCATCTTTAGTCCTATAAAAACCAGGCTCTTGATTCATCCAGGCTGCTGTAATTATGTGAGGTTATCATACGGAGAGGATGATTTGGCCCATCTTGTGATAAAGTCCTCATGTAAAATAGCTGAAGTTAAGAGAAATGGCATGTGAGAAATAGCACCCAGGAAGCAGAGCAGCTCAGCCCGTGTGGAAAGAGATCAGGATTTGGGTGCCAGGGCTCGTGGGTTAGGGAAATGGATTTGCAGCTGCTGCCTGGGCTGCTCAGAGCTTTCCTGAACTCCCTCCCTGCCCGAGATTTAAATCACCGATCCCCCGAACATCCCCATTTCCCCACCAACCGGGCAGGGAACCGAACGGACGTGGTTAAAGAGGAAAAGAAGGGAAGAGCAGATCTGGTTTGAGAGGGAAGCAGGGTTTAAATGGGGATCTCTGCCTCCAGTCCGCATCCCTGCCCTGCCGCGATGCGACAATTCCCACGGGGACCGTCACAGGGCATCAGGAATTCACTGCTGCTCCGGAAAGGAAGATACTTTACGAGTGTGAACAGCCTCCAAACTGGAGCTGAAAGTGATCTGTGCAAGAGCTCGACCGGTACTGAAATACTCCTTTTTTTTTTTTTTTTTTTTTTTTTTTTTTGCTGCTGGGAAAAACTGGAGCGGAGCATCCCGGGGTCCCGCTCTCCAGACTCCGCTGCTTATCCCGGTGTGGGAGGCTCCCAGCGCCTTCCTCTCGCCTCCAGGATAATGCCTTAGCCCATTCCTGCCCCGAGGGTATCCGCAGTGAAATCCCCGGGAATCGAATCGTGTGTGGATGCTCATTGATCCCAACGGGATGCCACTGCCAAGGAGCGGCTCCAAGGTCACCTCTGTGGTTTTCACGGGAATTCTTGGCTGAAATGGGGTCGGGAAACCTCTTTTAGATGCTGAGTCTGAAGAGGGTCCGGCAGCACTGCTTGAGATGCAAGGATGTGGCTATAATAACAAACAGTGTTGATTTTATGAGTTTGGACTCAATAATCTGAAAGGTCTTTTCCAGCCTAAATCTCTGGTCTTTGTTAGTCCCTTCCAGCTCAGGATATTCTGTGATTCTACAAACATTTCCTCTGCATTTATCTTAATTTTTAACTCCTGAATGAATACTGAACTGAAAGAAAAAAGGAAAAAAAAAGAAAATATAAGAATATTAATGACCAGAGCCCTCCAGCTACTGGAGTGGGAATTCAGCCATAAACTTCAGCGAGTGCTGATGAGCTGCACAGGGAACTTCAGCCCCTTCCTTGCTTGTTAATTAATGTGTGTTAGCTCAGGGTAGCTGCTGGCAGAAGGGGTTTCATCCATTAATGACAAAGATGTTTCCCAAAGTAGCGTGCAAACAGGGAAGGACAACATTTCCCAGTAAAGTTTGCTGTCTTAGGAAATGGATTTGTATTGAATTTGTTTACCACGAGTGCTGGTCAGAAAAGGTGGAAAAAAAGATTCAAGCCCACTGTGGAAGGAAATTTTTTTATAGCAGGGACTGAACAGCACTAAAGATGTCCTGGAATCCCGGACTGGTTTGGCTTGGAAGGATCTTAAAAATCTCCTAGTACCTTCCACTATCCAAGCTCCAAGCCCTGTCCAGCTTGGACACTTCCAGGGATCCAGGGGCAGCCACAGCTTCTCTGGGCACCCTGTGCCAGGGCCTCACCACCTTCACAGGGAACAATTCCTTCCCAATATCCCATCCATCCCTGCCCTCTGGCAGTGTGCAGCCATTCCCTGTGTCCTGTCCCTCCAGCCCTTGTCCCCAGTCCCTCTCCAGCTCTCCTGGAGCCCCTTTAGGCTCTGGAAGGGGCTCTGAGCTTTCCCTGGATCCTTCTCTTCTCCAGGTGAGCACCCCCAGCTCTCACACAGCCTTTCCTCAGAAAAGTGTTGCCACTGCCTTGGGTGGATTTTGTGCTGCTTTCTCTTCTCCCTGGGTTTGTGTCCAGAGATTCCAGAGCTGGATGTGCTCTGGGTGCTCCAGCTACAGCAGCCACCAGGAGAATATTCCTCTTTTTGAGGTGGCTGCAACCTGCATTTGAAGCCTTGCCCATGCTGGGTGAGTGGTCCTTGCAGTAACAGGAAAGTTTTCAGGGAAGTGACTGTGGCTTCAAGAGGGATTTGTCAGGATTATTGTTCATCTGCTGCCCAGTTTCTGGCTGCCAGCCCCCAAAATTCACAGTGGCAGGTACCCAGCACCTCCAGCAGCAGCTTTGCACAGGAGACAAGGACTGAATGAGCAGTCACAGCAAATGTTCCTTTTCTCTCTGGGATGGTGTCTCTTGCTGACAGGTCTCAGGTGTCCTCCTGGGGCCACAGGAGCGTGTGGGAAAGGCTGGGAATGACAGGGACTCAGTGCACTGAGCCAGAGCTTGGGACTGATCTCTTCCTCTTGCCTCCTGTATCTATTTATTCTGCAGGATCTCAGGGCTGAGCTGCGAGATTTTGAATCCAAATTCCCTTTTTCCCCCTCCCCAAATCCTCACAAACCTGGGACAGAGATTGAATTTCCCACTCAGGCTGCTCTGAGGGACCTGAGGTTGGATCCAGCTGTAACATTCCTGCTTCTGCCACAGGTGGACAGCGGGGGACCTCTGGTCTGCAGCTACTGGGACACCATGAAGTGGTTCCAGGTCGGCATCGTCAGTGGAGGAAACCCAAACCACAGGATTTTGACACCTGTTTTCAGCTACCAGGAGTGGATTGAGAAGGAAACAGCCATAAGGGGAAAACCTTTCTTCACTGAGGGTGTGGACAGTGGAACACACGTCAGGGTTGCTCGTTCCAGGGCTGGAACACAGGTGGTGTTTCTGGGGTATTGTCTCCTTTTATTCACCTTTTTAATAGCAATAAAATTACCCTGAGAGGAGGTTTTTGAAAATAAAAGTCAGAACTGCCGCTTCATTCTTCTTTTCTGAGGCCAACCTGCTCCATGTCCCTGACATGGACACAGGGACCAACAGGAGAGATGTCACGATGAGACAGGGAGGGAGTCAGAGGCTGGAGAAATGAAATGAAATGAAATGAAGGAGGCAGGATTTGGGCAAGAAGGGCCATAATTCTCTGGAAAACACAGATATTCCACACTGCTGGGTCACACTGGACTCAGTTTTTTGCTAAGTGGAGATATGGCATCTGAAGGTGCCAATCCCCTTGGAAAGTTGAAACCCAGAGGAAGAGGTTCACTCACTCATTATCATTAGCTCTGTAGGATACCTCTGGGCTTTTGAATCTTACAGATTTAGCTGGACTAATTTATTTTAGTCTGATTTTAACTAATTTTATTTTTACTAAGAGCACCCACATAGAGCTCAGCCCCTCCTCAGGTGCTGTCAAACTTCTGGGACAGAACCACTGAGGGTGCCAGAGAAGCTGTGGCTGCCCCTGGATCCCTGGAAGTGTCCAAGGCCAGGCTGGATGGGCTTTGGAGGAATCTGGGATAGTGGAAGGTGTCCCTGCCCATGGCAGGGGTTGGGATGGGATTTAAGGTTCATTCCAACCCAAACCATTTTAGGATTTTGTGATGAGAGAAATATTTGGGGACTATCCACAAAATGATGCCAACAAAAACCCTTCAGTCTTACAAATAATCAAATTAATCCCTTGCAAGTCAATGGCAAAGTAAAAGGAAAGAGATTTTTTTGCCCACTCTATTAGAAGTGTTTTTTTTCCTGAATTGCTGAGGGCTTCACATCCCAGCTCCACATCCCAGCCTGAGCTGGTCCCTCACATCCTTCCATCCTTCCTTTATTGATCTCCAGCATTCCAAACATGTTCTGGTCTTCACAAGGAGGTTTCAGCTTTTCTTGGAAGTGATGGGGAAGGAGAGAGGCAGCAAAGTCCCCTTCATGTCCCACCTTTGCATAAAAGCACCTGCAATTTGCAGCAATGATAAAACCCAGTGAATGTGCAATGGGACAGAACCTCACAAATTGGTTTTAATTACCTTGATATTTTCTGGCTAGCTGGCAGAAAAGCCTTGTAAATGAGAATTAATTCATTTACCTTAAGCTAATGCAAACCCATCTTGGCATAAAAGTCAGGCTTTATTTTCTGTGTTATCTGAGCAGAAAATAATGCTTAATTATTATTAGTTCTGAGTAATGCTTATGAAAATTGCTCCACATTAATTTCACATGGCTGACTGGCTAATGGATGCATAAGGGTCTTGTAACCCTTTGCAAAAAGACTAATAAGAGCTAAAAACAAGGGGAATATATTACTTTAACAGCTATTAGTAGCAGACAGTGTCTGCTGGCATTAATACCTATATTTATTTTCCTTTCTATTAATAATATATCAACAGATTCTGGAAGCCATGGACGTCAGGAAATATTTCCTAATGTTGCAATCTCTTCAGCTGCGGAATTGTTTCCCCCAGAGGAAATGAGAGAAGTCCTCCTGCTTAAATTATTTTAATGTAGGGGTTGTATAAAGCACTTTTGTCTCCAGCACATGGCAGGGAAAAAGCCTGGGCTAACAGGGGCCTGCAAAATGACCCAGTAGGTCTTTTCCATCAGAAGCATTTGCAAATTGATCATGGTCTGTGCTAAATGAAGGCAGGGCACTGCTGCTCTGGGCTTTGATTCATCCTGCTCTTTATTTATTCAATGGATTTGGGGATAACTTTGTGCTTGGTGCCTCAATTTCCCTGCTTGTAAATTGAGAGCATGAAAGAGGCTCACTCTCCTATGTGGAGCAACACTTCTGCAAGTTCAGACCAGCAGAGAAATAAACAGGAAAAACCTTTCCCTCCTTATTTAAAACATCATAAAACTCAGTAAAGTGAATTCATCTCTGTTACTTCTTCCACTGTTCAATAATTAGGGTGAGAAAGGACACGTCTGTTTAACTTTCCAGGCTGCAATTAGGTCTGATGAAAACATCTTGATGCTGTCTTTTTTTCTGAGGGTATTTGGGTTTTCAGGGAGTGTTCTGATTGTGGACTTGACAGGAATATTTTGGAGTCACTCAAAATCAAAATGCAGCTGTTCAATGGGACACATTAACTTTTTTAGTTTTCCAGCATTGGAGTAAAATGTTCATTATGTTATAGTGTTCTGTATTTGTAGAATCCCAAAATGGTTTGGGTTGGAAGGGACCTAAAAGATCATCCCATTCCACCCCCTGCCATGGGCAGGGACACCTTCCACTGTCCCAGTTTGCTCCAAGCCCTTTCCAACCTGGCCTTGGACACTTCCAGGGATCCAGGGGCAGCCACAGCTTCTCTTTTGGGTTTAGAACATCAAAATGCAGCATTTCCATGCTGAAGAACCTCAACATTTATGCTTCAGTCTGTAGCTGGCAAAGTTCACTTTTTGTCCTAACTTACAGCTCATTTCTTATTGCCCCTCCCTTCTTTCCAGAGACAGATTTTGTTTGCATCACTACACCTTTAGCAGCAAATAAACAGGATATGGAAATGCTTAGAGACCTGGGAAAACATCTATAAGAGGATTCAGGGGAAAAAAAAATAGGAGGATATGAGTACTCAAGCAGAGAAAAGAGGTGGTCAGGAGCTGCTTGCACGTTTTGCTGAGGAGATAAGAAGAAAAGCCCCCCCGAGCACTGAAGGCAGCAATTTAAAAGCCAATACATCAAAGTAATTTTGGCTTAGTTCTGCAGAGATTAAGGGCTTTGTGTACCCACTTTGTTTCCCTGTCTGCCCAATCCCAGCTGGAGCAGGGAGCTGGGAGAGTTGAAGATGATGATGTTTGTGCAATTTTGGCAGCAAGAGCTGGTGGAGGTGAAGGACGGGGAGGGCTCCAAGCACATTTGTGTGGCTCCACCCCAGAGAAGGAAGGTGGGAAAAGAAACAATCCCCTGGTCACAGGTAAGTGCTGCCGGAAAAGTCCAACCTTTACTCATCTTCCTGGTGGAATTGATGCACCCATCCCATCCTGCCCATGGGATGAGCCTTAGGGTCCCTTCCAACCCCAAATATTCCATGAATCTGTGATTCAATCCCTGGTCACAGGTAAGTGCTCCTGGAGAAATCCAACCTTTACTCATCCTCCTGATGGAAGGTGCCCCTGCCCATGGGATGAGCCTTTGGATGACCCCAAATATTCCATGAATCTGTGATTCAAGGGGATGATCCCACACCTGTCACCCAGCTCCTTCTCAGTACATGTCACCTGGGGGATCTGGAGACAAAGCAGCTGTCCTTGGAGGGGACTGAGATTTCCCATTTTCTCCTTTCCCAGCCTGGATTTCTTCACAGGGGTAAAAAACACAATGAAAAGCCCAGGTTTGTCTTCTCCTGCTCCCCTCAGCATCCCTGTGGTGTTTTCTGGGGTCTCCTGTGGCAGGAAGGAATGAATCTGACTCCATGTTCTTGGAAGGATATTATATTATATTATATTATATTATATTATATTATATTATATTATATTATATTATATTATATTATATTATATTATATTATATTATATTATATTATATTATATTATATTATATTATATTATATATAAAAGTAATAATATATATGTGTACATATATAATATATATAATATATATTATATTATATAATATGATATATCATTAATATATAATATAATATAATATAATATAATATAATATAATATAATATAATATAATATAATATAATATAATATATATAATATTGATTTGATTTGATATCATATGATATGATATTATGCTATACTAAAGATTAGAGAAAGGATACTTACAGAAGGCTAAAAGATAATAATTAAAAACTTGTGACTCTCTCCTCAGAGTCCATCACAGCCTGACCATGATTGGTCATTAAGTCAAAACAATTCACGTGAAACCAATCAAACAATGACCAATTGGTAAACAATGTCCAAATCACATCCCAAAGCAGCAAAACACAGGAGAAGCAAATCAGATAATTATTGTTTTCATTTTTCTCTGAGGCTTCTCAGCTTCCCAGGAGAAGACATCCTGGTGAAGGGATTTTTCAGAAAATGTGTCAGTGACACACCCTGAACACCTCTTTGTCCCTCTGAGGAGGAGGCAGAGGGCACACATGGCTCTGACTGTGACCACTGCCATCCATTTGTCACTCCTCATGCACTACATGGAGTGAAATCTGATTTTTATTGATAATAAGGTAGGATTTGAGGTGGAGACTGGAGGCTGCACAGGATCAGAACCTATTCCCACAATTCCCAGAGCTTTCCCTTATGGCTTTCATGGCATTTTTCAGAGTGAGGGCTCTGTTTATCCTTCTGTAAGCATGGGAATAATTAAAGAGCAGGGATGTCCCTTGGGATGCGCCAGTGGTGAGAGTGATTAATCACTGATGTTAATTGAAGGTGGCTCTGGGACAGAAAACACCACTGACAATAAGGAACTCCTTGATTTGTTGAAAAAAACCCTGGTGAACGTTTCTGGTGTCAGGCTGAAGACACTCAGGTGCTGCAGTGTTGTTGTGAGGGTCCCCAGGATGAGGTGAGAGATGAGAATTGACTCCAAGTTCTCAGAAGGCTGATTTATTGTGTTATTATATATATTATATTAAAAGAAAATGATATGCTAAAACTATACTAAAGAAAGAGAAAGGAGACATCAGAAGGCTAGGAAAGAAATGATAATAAAAACTTGTGACTGACCAGAGTCCCGACACAGCTGGATTGGGATTGGTCATTAAGTTAAAACAGTTCACATGCTGGGTAAACAATTCTCCAAATCACATTCCAGAGGGGCAAAACATGGAGAAGCTGAGGGTTCTCATCTTGCCAGGAGAAGATATCCTGTTGAAGGGATTTTTCATAAAATATCACAGTGACACTCAGGGACACTTTCCACCATCCCAGGTGGCTCCAAGCCCTGTCCAAACTGGCCTGGAACACTTCCAGGGATCCAGGGGCAGCCACAG